TATGGTCTCTCAAAGAGCCACTGTAATTTGTAAAGGCTCTGAAATGGCCAATGGCCAACTCGTTATGTTTTCTTTATGCAATGCTCTGCAGAAAGTGGGTGTGCAAATCATAGTCCATGTACTTTAAATACTGTCCTGCAGTGGAAACCTCCTGGGAGAAGTGGAAGTGCACATTATCACTGCTGCTTTATCACTAGTGTTGGGTGAAGGAAAGATCTATGCTGGCACTTTAAGGTGAGGACATTAGACCCATATTAGAAAGAAGAACTATTTATTCCAATGAGTAATGAATAATGTAAAAAAGGTAAATCAGTTACCAACATGAAATATTCCACCCAACTACGCAAATAAAATTAGACCTGGCAAATTGAAACTGTCCACCAACGCAAATGCCCCTCAATTGTATAGCTATAAATTTCTCTCTGGCTATCTGGAGCATTGCTCTTGGCCTTGCTTTGCCATTGTTACTGGCAGATCTCAGGATTCTTGCCATAATTTTCCTCATCAGAAGATTCCTCCAGCCGTTGCATCTCTGGCTCATCCACTTCTCACCAAGTGAGATTGTGGGGGGCACAGCACACCAGTATGATATGGCACACCTTAAGCAGGCAGCACTGCATGGCACCTTCTGCTTGGTCCAGGGATCAGAACTTCATCTTCAGGGGGATTTTCTGTTAGTTTTCTTTTTGGCTACACTTCTACCAAAGTATTTGTAGAACAATGTAGCACATTGCACATCAACCATCCTTGTATACGCCAAGGGCCTTACAAAGATGCTGATGCATATCAGTGCTCTAGTATGTACAAGTTGTGGCATCTCCTTGGATATCCAATGTACAACTACAAAGTCTGGCTGTGATGGTTGCAAATGAGTTAAAATTTGAGAGTGAGTGGGTGCCCTCAAAGCTATGTGCATAGAATCAATTGCAGCCTACAACTGCTGGAAGTCAGCAATGGATAAGAATCCTGATGTATTCACTGCTTGACTGGCCACGTCAAGGGAAGGCAGAAGAATAGGTGGGCTTGGTGAAATCTGTTGTGAAATTGGGTAGACTACCTGTGGATTGGGAAGCAGAACTTTAGAATTGTTTGTAAAATGATAGGTGGTGTGGGAGGGGGGAGTGTGTGGCCCATTTAAATTATGATGTGCTTTTTCTAGACTTGGAGATTTAAAAAAAAAGTCGGTGAGCGGCAGCAGGCACAGAGCATTCCTTAAATTGAAACATTTGTATCCAAAGACGGTATGGTTAGTGACTCAGGCAGTAGTCTTGTTTTGTTATTGAGACAACCAGTTTGAATCAACCAATTAATTTAGACTAGGCACTTAAAGACTAAAAACTAATTTAAATTAAAACAGATGGTTTTGATAACCTAGGACCAATCCTATTGTAAGAAATTGATAGATCATCAAAAGTATAAAAGAAGGTATTTGAAAATTGTTACGAGAGCAACTGCCATCTGTTAGAGTTAACAACCAGCAGACTCCTAAAGAAAAAGATCACTGTCTCTCTCAGAATTTTCTAAGCTCTCAGAAAACCATCACCTGACTAAAAGTATAGTGGCACACTTAACTAATTTTCCTGACTCAAGAATTTGACTCCGAAAGGTGTTCCTGACTGAAGAACTGAGGGGATGGCACCAAACATTTCAGAAGACGTGTCCTGACTGTAATTTCGAGAGACTAAGTTCTAAGTTTTATTTTATTAATTTGGTTTATATAGGTGGTACTTGTATCTACTGGAACAGCATACCATTAGAATTTTGTTTTATTTGGGAATAGTTAGTTAGGGGGGAATTGTTTGGTTTGTTAGTAGTTCTGTTAGTTTGTTCACTGTTAGAGTTAGATAAATAAATTGTTACTTGTTGATTATAGAGTAACTGTCAGGAGTTCATTTTATTTAACCTCCCCTTTATAACTGTGGGGGGTGAAAGGCAGGCTATACCACTTTTCACACTTCCTTTAACAGATTAAGAGGGAGAGGCAAGCTTCTCTAAGTGTTTCAGTTTTAGTTATTTGGGTGGCGAGGAGGGAGGGTCGACTACTGCTTCCTAACACATCCCAGATGCACATATGAGTGGAGGATTGAAACATGCCACGGGGTCCCCAGTTGCTCTCTGAAATGACCTGCTTTGAAAATATTTAAGGACAGAGAGGAACCAGGATGGGATTGTGCTCATAAGAGCTGAGTCACAGCTCCACAGCCCCACAGCCAGCAGTTGATATAGGTGTGATGTGATGACTTGGGGCATTCTTTGCCTTTTTTTTTACTGGGCCTTGGTCATTTGCAGAAAACTGCACTTAAGTCTGTAGACATGGTTCCAAGCTGGAACTGTATCTCAGTGGATCATGTCCTGCTGTTTCTCCCTCCGAAAGTTATGTGGCAGCTTTTGGTGGTTGATGTTCGTGTTGGATGTGTGTTACTTGTGCAGTCTTCTATGCTTGTTTCTTTGGATTAGCAAAAGAATAGCTGCATGTAGCTTGATCATTCTTGATCTTTCCTGAGTTGAGCAGATGTGAGAAACGGAAGTTAGGCAAGCGTTATTAAAGGCATGTTTGAGTGCTGATATCAATCGCATTGACGCAGAATGCCAACCCTCTCATGCAGTGTGTAGCCAGGACAAGGAATGCAGTATAATGCATTTAATGAGTTTTCAGTAATTCACCCTTTCCTCGTGTTTGTTCAACCGACGAGCATATCCATGATCCTTTGGCAACTGCCAGAAGGACCCCAAACAACCCGCTGCAGTAGTCCTGTAGAGAAACTTGCATTCTGGCCCTAAACTTCATCCCCTAGGTAGTAAACAAAAACTCAAACCAGAACTCATGGCTCCTCAGGTTTTGATGCACTCGTTCGTTTAGTGCCCTTCCATATGAGGCCAGAGTGGTCATTACCGTGAATAGCTGTTACACTCCTTTCAATCTGCACCGCCCCGCCCCAGTACACTGCCAGGTTCCACCTGACTATCTGCAATAGCATCCTGTAATTGTGACCATTCCCTCAGTGAAGTAATGCAGCCAAACTCCAGAATTGACCTGCCTGCAGCTTTGACAATGCTATGGACTGACCCCAGCTAGCTGTGGCTCAATCCCAGAATGATTTGGCAGGACAGCTCTGACTGATCACAGTCCACTCTTCAAACTGAGCTTGCAGTAGCATGCTGAGTGACTAACCTGCAAAGCTCAGACTGCTCTTACTTGACTGCAAGGACTGACAGTGGCCTAACTTGCAGATTGCAACAGCGTGGATCCCCGGATTTGCATAGGACCATCAACTTGACTGACTTTGACTTTTACCAAAGTCAGAAGTCCTAAAGAAGGGTCACTGGACTCGAAACTTTAACTCTGATTTCTCTGCACAGATGCTGCCAGACCTGCTAAGATTTTTCAACAATTTCTGTTTTTGTTTGTGACTGTTGCCAAATCCCAGATTAGAAATTGATAAGGTGCAACCCCTGAAGTGATTGTGGTGGTGCCTCCAGACTGGGAGATTGTGGTATGGAACTCTCCATTTAAACACACTTCACCACTAACTTTCATTCATCACCATTCTCTTCAAGCAGGTGCAATGTGTAGCACATACAGCTTATCCAGCAATGTGTTGTAAGCATGATCACACCACCACAACTGTGTGTTTTCTTTCAGTGTTTCCTATTGAAAAAATTCCCATTTTGTTTTTAACCTCTGACCCAGAGGCTGTTGGGTTCCTTTCCCTCCACGTTGAATTTTGACCTCTGGGCCAAGACCCATCAGTCGATGTCAGTATCGGAGGAGGTGCGGGACCCACGCAGCATGACTGTCTCAACTTAGAGGCAGTGGATGTGGAAGCAATGGTGCCAGCAGCGACAGAAAAGGAGCACATTGGTAGGATCCTAGGGACGATGTTGTATGATGGTGACTGGAGGAGCAGAGAGGGTGAAATCTATACAGGAGGAAAGATGAACTTTTGAAGCTGTTTCAGTTTTAGTAATATCAATTTATTTTGTATTTTACCATTTCTGCAATTTATTCAATAATTTATTTTGTAATCCAAGATGGCACTGGAATGTGGCATCATTGTCCACTTTTCAGTGTACCTAGGTACAAGTGACAATATTAACTAAATCTAAAGATAAATAAAGAGGATCCCGGCTGTCCTGCCTACCAAAATAGTATCTCAGAGCTAGAGGCTGATGGCTATCTTTCCTTGTCACTAAAATATGACCTGAGAGTCAGAGGTGGCTGACAGGAGCTGCCTGCTAAATCACTCCCTCAGATCCAGGTACTATTGTCTGATGCTGCCAGCCAAAGAATAAGTGCTGTCTGAACATGTCCAATATCTGAGGCTGCTGTGTTGCTATTGCCCAAGTGTATGGAATGAGGCTGCAGATAGACATCATGTCTAGTGATCATTTGAGGCACCTGCTGCAGTTGTGGTGGTTCTAGCCAAAGTGAAGACAAAGAAGATGGCAGACACAGCCATGAACTTACTCCGATTAGAACTAATGGAACAAACTCGACAGGAGTTGGGAGAAGTTAATCAGGAAGAGGAAGTTAATACGGTGAATAATGTAACTAATCACATGCGGATACATGCAAATAGCTTCTTGACACCTGATATTTGATCTCACTGTGAAAGAGGACTTTATTGCAATTGTTTTCCCAATGACCAGAATCTGATTTTTGGACTGTCTTTCAATTAAGTTATCCCAATCATTATTCTCTTCACCATAGGAAGGGGCAAGTCTTGCCTAAAGGCTCATTTGGAATTTTTTTTGTATGGTTTTAGACACCAAGAGCAGGCTTACTTAAAAGCATTAACTAATTTGGAGGAATACATTATTCTGTTGCCATATTTTGAATCAACAAATTATTTAACTTGTCACTTTAGTAGTCTCTGAAATAAATTTTAGCAAAACATTGAATGCTACAAGACAATTAGGATTCCAGATAATTTCAATAATGGTTCCATTATTTTGTCCTGTTTTTCAGAGAAATGGTTTGTGTTTTTTTTTCTGTTCAGATATCCAAGAATTCTATGAAGTCACGTTACTCAACTCTCACACAAACTTTGCACAGAAAACTGCTGAAGCCAACCATGTGGTAGAAGAATGGGAAGGGAGAAATTCACAAGTGGTGGTCACACAAAAGAACATCTCAGAGGTAAGAAACTTTAATGTGTTCTGTATGGGAGAAAACAAGTTGCCCAGTTTCTTTAAATCAGCCTATAACACAAGAATCTTTATTCTGCAGTACTAGATGGGTGCAATAGCATATTAAATTTTTGTTTCTTTGTTTGAAAAAAAAATGAGCATGATTATCCTTGATCATAGGCAAGTTAGTTGTATTTGGCATAAGTAGCATTCTGTCTCTGTGTCAGAAGGTTGTGGGTTCAAGTCCCATTCCAGACATTTGAGCACGAGAATCTAGACTGACACTAAATACTGAAGATAGGGCGAGGTGGTCAGATTTTCCCCCTTTCTCACATCTTGGCTGACCCCAACAAGACCTATTTATGAGAAGAAATATTTGAATCTTTTTTCATTCTGTGATGTTAAAGAACGGAGATGACCTGTCAGCATAAAAATGTACATTAAAGGCAATATATGCTTACCCCTGTTGACTCTGACAACAATCTTCCAGTCTTGATTTTAGTGAAGTTAATCATTTTCTTTTAAAGAGAATATCTGCTCTCATTTATAAGTTTGATTACTTTTGATAAAAGCTATACCAATGTACCACAAATAATATATGCTGGTAATAATATGAAAGTTTAGATGAGTGTCCAAAAAAGTTGTTAGAATGTTAATCATACAATTTGGAGCAACCTACCTGTGAATGAATTGCCAGCTTCTGTAGTTCCAGTTAGATTTTCCACAACAAAATCAAGGAAAAAGATGAGTCTACTTCATTTTTGTGCAGAGCAAGCAATTTTACACTGGAGAGAGATAGTAAGAACTGCCAATGCTGGAGTCAGAGATAACAGTGTGGAGCTGGAGGAACACAGCAGGCCAGGCAGCATCAGAGGAGCAGGAAAGTTGACGTTTTGGGTCGGGACCCTTCTGGGCAGTATTCTTTATCTTGGCCATTAAAGTAAACTGATAATACACTTATAGTAGTTATCAAAGATCAATAAAAACATTTTATAGATTTCTTTCAAAAATATAAGCATAAAAATATACTCTACCTAACTTCTGTTCCATACGTGATGGTAGCTTTATGCACTAGAATCCCCTGCCACACCTCCCACTCTCTCACTTGAATTCTCACTCTCTTGCAGCCTCAGTTTCAGTCTGATTTACAGCTGTGGCATATATTTGTCAGGTGACTGTGACATTGGGAGTAACTTGGGGGCTGTGTGAACAATACTGAGAAGGAGACACAGATTTGGTTATCGCTATGATACAGGGTTGAAGCTCTCGCTCTGACTGAATGAATACTAAAATTTAATGTTGGGAAACAAAACCAGGGGGATTGATAGAGATGGTAGATACAATCTTTGGCCAACATCAGTATGGCTGTGGTCATCCCAATGTTCATTTGGAGGACGTGTTTGCTTATTCTGGGTTTGCTAAGCAGACAACATTGTGGTGGTTCTGGGATCAGTACAGTTGTGGAGAGATCAATCTCTCTTTAGCAGTTAACCTTATGTCAATGAATTATATTGTCAAAGAATACTGGTGAGGGGAAAAGAACAGATCAGAGAGGGATATTTGCAAATACATCCAAAGTGTTTTTGGGTAGGTAGCAAACTAGTCCAGTTAAGGAAACTGAGTGCAAACTTGGGTTTTAAAACTCACTGTTACACTCAGTCATCGAGATATACAGCATGAAAACAGATCCTTCGCTCCAACTCATCCATGCTGACCAGATATCCTAAGAACGTCTAGTCCCATTTGCCAGCATTTGGCCCATATCCCTCTAAAACTTTCTTATTTATATGCCCATCCAGATGCCCTTTTAAATGTTGTAATTGTACCAGCCTCCTCCACTTCCTCTGAGCTCATTCCATACACGCACCACCCTTTGTGTGAAAAAACTGCCCCTTAGGTCCCATTTATATCTTCCCCTCTCGCCTTAAACCTATGCCCTGTAGTTTTGGACTCCCTCAACGTGGGAAAAAGACCTTGTCTATTTATCCTATCCATGCCCCTCATGACCTTATAAACCTCTATAAGGTAACCCCTCAGCCTCTGACGCTCCAGGGAAAATAGCCCCAGTCTATTCAGCCTCTCCCTATAGCTCAAACCCTCTAACTGTGGCAACATCTTTGTAAATCTTTCCTAAACACTTTCAAGTTTCACAACATCCTTCCTGTAGCAGGGAGACCAGAATTGCACGCAGTATTCCAATAGTGGCCTTACCAGTATCCTGTGCAGCTGCAACATGACCTCCGAACTCCTATGCTTAATGCACTGACCTATAAAGACAGGCATACCAAATGCCTTCTTCACTGTCCTGTCTACCTGTGACTCCACTTTCAAGGAACTGTGAACCTGCACTCCAAGGCCTCTTTGTTCGGCAACATTCCCAGGACCTTACCATTTAAGTGTATATGTCCTGCCCTGATTTGCCTTTCGAAAATGCAGCATCTCAGTTATCTGCCACTTCTCGGCCCATTGGCCCATCTGATCAAATTGCCATTGTACTCTGAGGTAACATTCTTTGCTATCCACTGTATCTCCAATTTTGTTCCACTACAGAGAAATTAGTTAGCTGTTTGCTGTATATCTGGGAAGTGGTTAAGGTCAATTTTATCTTAAGTTTTAACATAGTATACAAATTGGAAGTGAAGTTAATAAAATAAAATGCAACACAGATAAATAATAATTTAACTTATTAAAACTCACTAAGGATTTTCTTGCCATAAAAGATGCAAAGACATTTCAGTAAGAGCTGTAAAGCAGAAGGGGAGCTTGTTAAAATTACAGTCACAAGGGAACCAAGGGCTGACAAGTCTGTGGGTCCAGATCCTCTGGTCTTAAAATCAATTGCTAATGAGGTATGTATGTTTGTTAATTTTCCAAAATTTCCTGTATTGAGGAAATGTTCACTCACACTGGAAAGTAGCAAATCCATGAAGGGAGACAGAAAACAGGAAGCAATAGGCCAATTACTTGACATCTGTCATAGAGCACTTTGCTAGAACTGATCATCAGAGGTTAAGGCTACACATTTAGAAAAACTCAAGGTCATTGGGAAGAGTCAGTAGGTTTCGTGAAAGGGAATTCATACTTGATCAATTTGTTAGTCTTCAAAGGAGTCTAATGTGATTTGGATAAAGGGGAATCTAGAGATCATTGCACTTGGATTTCTTGGATGTATTTGTTAAGTGTCACAACAAAGGTTATTATGTAAAATAAAAGCTTGTGTAGTGTTGATATAAGATTGGCTGGCTGCTTGGCAGAAAACAGTTTGCATAAATGGGTATTTCACTGATTGGCAGATGTGATTCTGGAGTTCTGCAGGGGTCAGTGCTGGGGCCTCAAATTTTTACAGTTTACATCAATGAGGTGTGAGAAGGCATCATAGGTAAATTCACAGACAGCACCTAGATAGATAGGAAAGTATGTTAAGAATAAGACATAAATTACAAACAGATGTATTTAGGTTGAGTGATGTTAGAAAATGTGCAGTTCACTTTGGCAGGAAGAATGAATAAAGTATTATTTAAATTTGACGCCAACTGAAACATTGAGGTGGAGAGAGATTTAGGAGTTCCGGTGTATGAACCACAAAGATGTTTAGTGTGCAAATTGAGTATGTAATGAAGAAGGCTAATGGCTCCATTATTTTGAGAGGAATTATACTGCAGTGTGCAGAACAGTGGTGAAATCACATCTTGAGTCGTGTGTGCAATTTTGGTTTCCTTTTATTTAAGTAAGGCTGTAAATGCCTTAGAGGTGGTTCAAAGGAGGTTTCCTCGGTAGATGGGAAATAGGGATAGAGTAGAGAGGTGAGTCTGGGTGGAATGCTTTTCAGAGAGTCGGTGTGGACTTGTTGGGCCGAATGGCCTGTTTCCACACTGTAGGGATTCTATGATCTATGAAATAAGCAGAATGTCTCATGAGGATAGGCTGGCAAGCTGGGGTTTAGAGTGAAGAGTGATTTGATTGTAGATCAAGGCAAATAGCACATTTAGGAATATAGTCACACAAAATAGGACCATGAGTGACTACTGGATAATTAAGAAAACCAGGCAGGTAGTACAGATGTCCCTAGAGATGATTTACTTGCTATTTGGTATTCTATTCCAGATACTGGTGAGAAAAATGTTTTTTCTCGCCAATGTGAGCCCAGCTAGTGGTCCTTCAGCTGGCTCAATTGTATGGGAAAGAAGAGTGGAAGTCAGGCAGTAATAGGAAATTCATTACTTAGGGCAATAGTCATGCAGTTCTGTGACTGTAGATATGATTCCGGGATGGTACGTTGCCTCCATGGTGCTGGGATCAAAGATGTCACAGAGCAGCTGCAAGACATCTTTCTGGGTGTTTTGAACAAACATGGATACTTTAGTATACAAATTAGAGCTTAATACAAGCTGTAATAAATGCACAATTAATTTCTTACCCAGAATTTACATGTGGTAAACATGGATAACAGTCTGTGATCAAACACTCCACAATGCATAGAAAAATAACAAATATGGCCAGGGTAAACACTGCAGAAGTTAATGACATGGTGGGTCATCAATTTTCATTAAACTCCACGAGGATTACAATTCTTTACTTTTGCTGAACTAACCCCGAATCTTTCCCTTGAGCTGTTCTGTAATTGACAACCATAGTGATTGCTTCTTTTCTAGTATCAACATAAGGATTAGGAGCAGAAATAGGCCATTCGGCCCCTCAAGCCAGCCCTGCCATTCAGTAAGATAATAACTGATCTGCCCCAGGCCCAACTCCTCATTTGTACCAGTTCCTCATAGTTCTCAATTCCTCAATGTTTCCAAAATTTATCTGACTCTTTAAATAGTGATCTGGCCTCCACAATTCTTTGGAATAGAGAATTCCAGATGTTCACTACCCTTTTGGGAAAAGAAGATCCTTTGCATCCCAGACAGGATTGTTAGGAAGGCATTTGGCACGCCTGCCTTCATTGCTCAGTCCTTTGAGTGTAGGAGCTCAACATTATGTTGAGGTTGTACAGGCCATTGGTGAGGC